TGAACTCAGCTCGTTCAGATCTCAGAACTTGAAACCGGCATTGCCTCCTAAGTGCTGGTCGCATTTGCAAGACCCCGACATCCTGGAGATTCTCCGCGGTGGAGTGGGAGTAGGGATGTCAGGAGCGGGGAACTCATCCATGGGGGTCCTCTGGCGAGTCTCAGTGGAGGGAAGCGGCGAGTGTCACCCACTCCGGGCAGGGCCCCAGGGCCCCCTCCTGGGGCGGGAGTCTGGGTAGCTGTGGGGAGGGGGCTGACACCTGCAGCCTCTGGGGGCCGCAGCCGGGAGGACGCTCGGATTTCACTTCTGTAACTGGCCTTCCTGTAGATTGCCCAAGCCCCTTCCTGTTGGGAAAGCGGGCCCGACCCCGCCGTTTCACCGCCCGGCCTGGGACAGAAGGGACGAGAGGGAAGGAAGGGACGGGAGGGCGGCGACCCCCTGCCCGCTCCGGCTCAGACAGGCCCGGGACGGTCCCGCCCCAAGGCCGCCGAGATTCCTCCTCGTCCCGACCCCAGACATAGGGTGCAGAGCTCGACAGCCGGGACCCGCCCGGCCCGAGGGGGCGGCCCCGGGACAGGGGTCCCGGCCAGGAGAGCTGAAGGGAGCGGGCCCGGCTGGTGCGACTCACCCGGCCCGCTGCAGTCAGCGCACACCTCGCTGCTCCGGAGCCGCTTCGACATGGCTCCCGCCTCCCACCTGCCGGGAACCTAGTGGCCGGGGACAGCGAAGGCGGCGGCGGCGCTTCCGCTCTAACGGGTCCCCACGGTGGTGCTGGCTGCGGCGCCTCTCCCCTCAGCGCCTCACAGCCGCGGCGCAGCACGCACGCGCGAGGAGGCGCCCGTCGGCGACGGGCAGGTCATGTGACCGGAAAGGGCACGCTGCCTTGTCGCCATCTTGAGTGAGGGCAGGTGTCTTCTGTCCTTCCAAATTTCCTTGATTTGGTGTCTCCCTCTCTGGAAGAGATTCGCTTCTTCCCAGCGCTGATTAATATCAGGGGAGGCAGCAAAATCTAGTGACTAGAGGTATGCAGCCACAACCTTCCTGAGGCAATCAGTAGTCAAGTCATCTAGCATAACTTTGGCCAAGTTCACTTATTTATGCATTCCTTTATTCAGCAAATATTTATTGAGCATCTACTATGTTCCACACACTGCTCCAGGCACTGGAAAAGGAGCAGTGAGCCAAGAAGACGAAATTTCCTGTCTTTATGGAGCTTACTTTCAGCTGCACTAGATCTACAATAAGTAAAATAGGAATATGTTAGATGTTTCCTTACGCTGCAGTTTTAATCTCATCTGCAAAATGGAGATAATGTGTATCTACCCGTAGCCCATGATTTGCTTTTGTATAGCCTGTTACTTAAAAATGATTTTTACATTTTTAAAGGGTTGTAAAGAAGAAAAAGGAGAGAAGGGATAGGATGAAGAATATTCAACAAAACATATATGACGTGCAAAGCTAAATATTTACTGTCTGGCTAAGGACAAATGCGATAATTTACAGAAGAGTGTGGTGTGCCTGCCCCATAGTAAGCCCTCAATAATAGTAGCTCCTATTATTATTGGAAAAAAAAATTTTTTGGCTGAGTTGGGTCTTTGTTGCTGCGCACGGGCTTTGTCCAGTTGCGGTGAGCGGGGGCTACTCTTCCTTGCGGTGCACGGGCTTTTCATTACGGTGGCTTCTCTTATTGTGGAACATGGGCTCTAGGCATGCGGGCTTCAGTAGTTGTGGTTTGCAGGCTCAGTAGTTGTGGCTCGCGGGCTCCAGAGCACAGGCTAAGCAGTGTTGGTGCATGGGCTTAGTTGCTCCGCGGCATGTGGGATCTTCCCAGACCAGGGCTCGAACCCGTGTCCCCTGCATTGGCAGGCGGATTCTTAACCAATGCGCCACCAGGGAAGCCCTGGAATTTGATATTACTATTATTTTCTAATCACAACTTTTTTTTTTTTTGTCTTGAGGATAAGAATAGATAATCTAACTCACAGGATGGTGTGAGATAAACACAATGAGATGAGTTTAAGCAGTGGAAGAAGAGCAGAGATGTGACCCTAATGCTAATGAATATTGTATGCATTATATGTAAACACAACCATGATCTCCCTTCAGCAAATATTCCATGCCTATTGTGGGCCAGGTACTGTTTTAACTTTAGGTACTCTGGTGAGCAGTTATCGTGGAGTTTTCCGACTAATGGATTAAGAGAAATGTTCAATAAACATAGGATGATGAAGAGAAAGAAAATTAAATTGCACAAGCCTTCTGAAAGGAGAGAAGTCCTGGAAGAGGTCTCAGAAGCACTGGTCTTTGGTTCATCTCTCCATTTTTATAAATGTGTGGTATGGGCATAACCACATAATTCCCACACATTCCACAGTTAGAGCCTCTGGGTTCCATCCTGATGCTCCTGCATCCTGTTTTGGTTTGCAGACTAACAAATCTTCTGGACTCAACACATGTGGAGAATGGATTAGGCCAGGATTCTTGAACAGCTGTTGTTGCAGGCATCTGAAAAGCTGGATGTGCACAAGCAGGGAAGGCAGAGGGTATGCTTTCAAGAAGCATTAAATAACTTTGCCCAGTTATGTGGTCTAGTTGTAGACAGCTGTGCAGAAAGCTCAGGCTGGTGAGTAGCTGTAAGTTGACTTGGTTCTTCATTGAATCAAGGAGTTATAGTGTCTTAGATTGAAACCCAAAGAATGAACTTAATAGTGACTGATTGTGGTCAAGTCTAAGTATTATCTATTAGTTCTTTTGGCCATAACCCCAAATTCAAACGGCTAGCTTCGAAAATAGATGACATTCATATGTGGAATAAACCACCACCTTAGGTAACTTTGAATCATAACCCAGTTTGGGGTTCAGGTAGAACAGTGCTTCTCAGTGGGGGGTGGGGGATGGATTTTTGTCCTCCAGGGGACATTTGGCAATGTCTGGAGACATTTTGGGGGTAGTGTTACTGGCATCCAGTGGATAGAATGGCCAGGGATGCTGCTCAACATCCTACAAACACAGGACAAGTCCCACGTAAAGAATTATGTGGTTCACATCTTCCTTTCCAATTTGAGTTCCTTTTATTTCTTTTTCTTCTCTGATTGCTGTGGCTAGGACTTCCAAAACTATGTTGAATAAAAGTGGTGAGAGTGGGCATCCTTGTCTTGTTCTTGATTTCAGAGGAAATGCTTTCAGCTTTTCACCATTGAGTATGATGTTAGCTGTAGGTTTGTCATATATGGCCTTTATTATGTTGAGGTATGTTCCCTTTATGTAGTATTCAACAATGGAATACCACTCAGGCATTAAAAAAAAGAATGAAATTTTGCCATTTGCAGCAACATGGATGGACTTGGAGGTAATTATGCTAAGTGAAATAAGTCAGACAGAGAAAGATAAATACTGTATGATACTGTATGATATCACTTATATGTGGAATCTAAAAAATACAACAAAGTTGTAAATATAACAAAAAAGAAGCAGATTCACAGATATAGAGAGCAAACTAGTGGTTACTACTGGGGAGAGCGGGAGAGGGGTAATATAAGGGTAGGGGAGGAGGCACAAACTATTGGGGGTAAGATAGACTCAAGGATGTATTGTACAACACTGGGAATATAGCCAATATTTAGTAAAAACTGTAAATGGAAAGCAACTTTAAAAATATATATATTTATTTATTTTTGGCTGTGTTGGGTCTTCGCTGCTGCATGCAGGCTTTCTCTAGTTGTGGCGAGTGGGGGCTATTCTTCGTTGCAGTGCGCAGGCTTCTCATTGCAGTGGCTTCTCATTGTGGAGCACGGGCTCTAGGCGTGCGGGCTTCAGTAGTTGTGGCACGCGGGCTCAGTAGTTGTGGCTCGCGGGCTCTAGAGCACAGGCTCAGTAGTTGTGGCACACGGGCTTAGTTGCTCCGCGGCATGTGGGATCTTCCCAGACCAGGGATTGAACTCGTGTCCTCTGCATTGGCAGGTGGATTCTTAACCACTGTGCCACCAGGGAAGCCCCGGAAAGCAACTTTTTAAAATTGTATAAAAAATCAAAATAAATAAAAGTAAAAAATAAATAAATTAAAAAGAATCAGAGCTACCAGAATAGCAAAAAAAAAAAAAAATTACGTGGTTCAAAATGTGCCGAAGTTGAGAAATCCTGAGATAGAACCATCCTCTTATTGTGCAACTATTTAATGCCACTTCTCCAGAGTTTATAATTCCCCCTTGAAAATTGTTTGGTGCTGCCCACTTCCAAAATGGCTCCTGACCAATCGTGGAAGCATATGCCCAGGTCCAAAAAGGCTAGGGAGTCAGTAACTAGAATGGTTTGGTCCAGGCGCCTGTTGTCAACCCCGTGACCACAGAGCCGGTGGAATAGGCCCAGTTGTGGACCGAACCATATGAGAAAGCTGGAGCAGGGGGAAAAGGGGTGATGAAGGGTAGACCGAGTTTTCCATGTAGAGATTCTGGGCTAAAGAAGAGAGTTTTAACTCTGTTTTGGACATTACTGTGTTTCCAGATGTGGACTTCAGGTGGGTGGGGTTAGGCGGACCCCGGACCAGGTGGTTGTCCTCTTCTCCCCCCCGCCACGGCGCGCGGTGGTTCGCTCCCCGCACTTCCCTGTTTGGGGCAGTTCTGCCCGCAGAAGTCGGTTCGGGAGCTGTCAGCGCAGGCGGGAGCGCGGCGGGGCGCGGGGTGGGCGCGGCCGACCCCGTCCCCGACCCAGCCCGCGACCGCCGACCTCTCGCGCGTGCCCCTCACCTGGCTAGCTAGTCCCCCTTGCCTCGTACCGCGCCCCTTGCTCGCTCCCCTGGTTCTCTCGCTCGCCGGCGGCCGGGCGGGCGGGCGCCGGAGACCCTGCCGGTGCTGAGACTTGGCAAGCGGGCGGTGAGGGCCCGGCTGCGGCCTCCTCGCCATGTCCTCTGCCTGCGACGCTAGCGGCCACTTCCCTTTACACGTCCTGGTCTGGAACAACGACTACCGGCAGCTGGAGAAGGAGCTGCAGGGCCAGGTGAGGGGCGAGGCGGGGGTCCGCCCCCGGCGAGAGGAGGGGGGAGTCGGGGGTCGCATCGCCTCCCTGAGCCCATCTCCAGTCCTCTGCCCTCGGGGCCCCGCAGACCCCTTCCACTCTGCAGTCGTGGGACAATAATAATAATAATAACAACAACATGTATTGAGTGTTTAATGTGTTCCAGGCCCTGTGTCGAGGTTTTATATATGTTATCTTTCTCAGCCTTTCCAGCAACCCTAGGAGGTAGGTACTATCGTTAAATTTGACAGAGAAGGAAACTGAGGCTCTCAGAGGTTATGTGCCTTACACAAGGTCCCTCACCTAATAAATACCAAATCAGGATTTTTAACTCTGGCCAGCTGGCTCCAGAGCGCACCGTCTTAACCAATTAGGCCTGCCTCTCCCCAAAATGTATGAGCAACACACACCTCTCACCCCACCCATACGTTTTGTAAGGAAGGGCTTGGTTGGGTTTGGACTCCAGGTTCTAACTTGCCCTGTGACCTTGGGCAAGGCATTTTCCTTTTCTGGCCCACGTCCACTTATTTGTAGCATGAGGGTGTCGATACCCCTGTGGGCAAATCTTGTACTTGACTATTATCCATAGGTCAAGTTTGAGAATCACTGGTGCACAGCATCCTTAAAATCACTTTCTGTTTTAAAGTGCTTTGATTCCTTACCTTTTATTTATTCCCATCTGTATAAGCAGTGGTTCTCAGTTGGAAGTGATTTCATCCCTCATCCCACACATCAAGTAATTAATGGGGACATTTTTGGTTGTTACAAGTGGGGAGTGGGTGTTACTGGAATCTAATGGGTAGAGGCCAGGGAAGCTGCTCAATATCCTATAATGCACAAATGCGTAAGACACCCCCCTCCCCAACTAAGATTTATCTGTCCCAAAATGTCAGTAGCATTTTGCTTGAGAAACCCTGCCTTAAAGGCATCCCAGCAATTCTGGGAGGTATTGGTATCCTCAAGTTACAAACTAACAGACTTAGCAGTTAGGATGAGGATTTGTAATTATTTGGTATAATTGTTCTGGTTGACTTCATTTTATCCAGTGTGCTAAAGTTCTGGTGTTTGAATGGCTCCAATTTGATGCTGTAATTGTCAAGAAATTTTAGAGGAAAAGGGGCATTGGTTTTCTTATGGTTGGCAAAAATTGAGCAAGGTCAGCATCCCCCCATGTGATGAATGGTTACTGCTAAGTGTGTTCTTGTACCTTGACGTCTCCCTTTTAAGTCTGTTGAGCACCCACTGGAAGTCAAAAGTTGCTCTTTTTTCATTTAAATTCTCTATCCCGACAGAATAAACTTTCGTTGTAAGCGTCATTGCTGTTAATTAGATCATGCCCCCAGAGTAGATGATTCACCATTAGGCATTGCGGTATACCTGAAGATTTAATTCCCTTTCTCTTACTAAACGTGGCTCAGAGAGAATCCTCCATGATTTTGCTCTCAGATTTCAGTCTCACCTTGGACACTTTAAAAATGACCGGACAGTCTTGTTTTTAGTTCTGCTGCGTTTTGCTTCTGCACTTCCTCGGTATCGGGGCCGCCCAGCTTCTTACGAAATATTGAGATAAAGTACAAGGAAAGTCACAAAACTAAAATCCTATTCGATAGAGAGGGTCATCATTGTCCTTAAACCACACACACGTTCAATACTGATTTCTGAAAGCAGCAGGCTTTCTGTTCATTGGAGTGAGGAAAAGAGTTTAAATGAAGTGCAGTCTTTCTTTATAGGAAAACTTGTTCGATAAGACCAAGTCTTGGTTTATAATCTACAATGTGGCATGGTTGAATTATTTCTTTTTCCTGCAAGCTGTGATAGACATGTTCATCGAAAGTTCGCTGTGCCTCTTACCTTGAAAAACGTTAAGGACATTCGCGATAGAGAATTATAAGTTTGCAGCAGGTTGTCCCGGAGTAAATTGATCCTTAATGCCTTTGACTGGCAAGGAGGTCAGGAGAGAATATTCATCTTTGCTAATAATTTGGTTTTGGCTTTGTTATTGGTTATCACTGTAGATCATTCCACAGGATCCTGTTTTCTCTGGGGAAGGGGTAGTTGAAGTGTATTCAGAAAGAACATCTTGACCGTGGAAGCTTGATTGTCGTGAGCACGCAATCCAGTTTCGATCCTGAAACTTGGCCGTTGAAGGGGTGGACACGGGGCTGGCTTCAAGGGTGTGCGACCTGGCAGTTGCACAGGGCCTTGTGCTCAGAAGTGGCTGGTGCTTGGTGGTTTTTTTTTTTTTTTTTTTTGGCTGTGCTGTGCGGCATGCGGGATCTTAGTTCTCCGACCAGGGATCGAACCCGTGCCCCCTGCAGTGGAAGCGTGGAGTCTTAACCACTGGACCACTTAACCACTGGACCAGGCAGGGAAGTCCCTCGTGCTTGGTTTAATGCTCTGCAGTTATTGTCTTGAAGTTCTAAATTTTTTTTTTTTGATTAAGGGGCCTTGCATTTTGATTTTTCTCTGGGTCTTGCAAATTATGTAACTGCTTCAGGGTCAAGAAGTTGATAATTGATGTCATTAAAGTACAAGGCAGGGAATATTTTGCTGCTTTCATATTTATCGAGATCCTCTGTTAATTACAAAACAGTTGCCTACACCTGTGCCTTGGAGGCAGTTAGGTTAATGGCCAGTGCTATCGCAGGTTAGGTTGTGAGCTTGGGTGCCTAATTTACCCTTGCCGAATCGGTTCATCACCTGTCAAAACACGGTATTTTGCTGTTTTGCCAGGCACCGTGCTGAAATGTTTTATGTGAAGTTTTAGATTTAATTCTCACATCAGTCCCCTGGGGTGAGTGCTATTGTGATTCCCATTTCACAGATGAGGAAACGGAGGTAGAGAGGTTCAGTCACCTGCTTACCCAGTAGTCGAACCAGGATGTCAACCCAGAAAGTCACAGTCTGCTTTAATCCTGTATTCTTAACCCTTCCGCTTTACTTCTTTCAGTGAAAGTGCCTCCATTTCAGGATTCTGGAGAATGAAGCAGAGAACAGATCAGAAAGCAAAGGCACTTAGTAAATGGGAGCAGTACATTTACCATACTTGCTGCTGCTATCATTATAATCATCCTGGGAATGTAGCTTCTTTTATGTATGTTCCAATTTTTCTACAAAGAACACGTATTGGTTGCATAATTAAAAACAAAAAAATTCTTATCACCCCAGCAATAAAACCAGCTGTTTCACTTGAGGCTTTGTTTGCCCGTAATTTTCTGCTGTCCGTTCCTTCATTCCTTCCATCCCACGAGTGAGACATGAAGCAGGCACACTGGTAGCTATAAGAATTTTATTTTGTTCTAGGAACAGTGGCACAGAAAGAATCAAGTTTATCCAGATGAAGAGGATAAGCACGTGTTTCTGAGTGTGAGTGAGTCAGCCCAGTGCCACCGTCTTGCTAATAGCTGGAGTTCACTGCTTGTGTAACTTTGCCAGTGATGAGATTGTTTCACGCTTTCAACGTTTACTCAGCAGAGGCACTTTATTAAGTGCCTCTTAACCCATCAGCTCTACTGCCTTTAATATTCAACGGGGCCTTGAAGTTGATTGGTGCAGTTGAAATGATTTGTGTTATGGTTATGTCATTTGTCACTTAGCCAGAGAGGTCTGTTAAACATCTTTTGGCCTTCCTGCTGATGCTGGAAGAATGAAGGAAAATTTACAGGGACAAATGCAAAGGTCAGTCAGTGCACCTTAGCAGGGGAGAGAAAGCCCTGGGATTGAGTGGAGTGGAGGGTGGCAGATGATGCCTGACTCCAGGGCCAGCCCCCTGTTAGGGAGCCAGCAGTGAAAGCACAAAATCTGGGCAAGAGGAAGAGGATGTTCTACGCAGCTGCAGTGCCCGGAGCCTGACCAGGGAACCACGCTGGGGTTCTCATCCCAGCCAGGGGCTAGGCTGGGAGAGGCCACTGGGCACACGTTCAAGCCAGTGCCTGTTGGCTAGAGGCCCGCTGTGAGCCAGAGCCTTGCATCCAAGGGGAAGAGCCTGGAGCCTCCTCTCAGCTGCTCCTCCTCAGCCCTCAGAGGCTCAGGCTCACCTTAGGAACCAGGCTTGTATGGCTTCCTGACCCCGACCCCTGACTCGGAGTGGGAGAACCAGCTCAGGCCATAGCTGCAGAGGACCAAGGCGGTCTGAGAGTGCACAGGAATGAGGGTGGTTGACTCTCCCAAGCGAACGGAGGGCTGCTTAGCAGCCTCTTACCTGAGGCCTCCCCAGGAGGCCCCTGTGAGAGTTTCTGAAGCTCTGGCTGTGCGCTAGGGGCCAAGGCTCAGAGGGGTTGAGTAATCCACCCAAGGCTAGTGGGGGGTCCGGAAGTGGGCCCGGTTGTCTGGCTCTGCAGCCTGCACTCAGCTGCGCCTTGACTGCGGCTGGAGAACAGCGGGCAGGCAAAGAGGGCTTGGACAAGAAAAGTCGGTGGGCTTACATTATCACATAAGGAGACGTGTAGAAATCTCATTCCTTTTCTTCTTTTGGGGCACGATGATAGTTAAGAGGGTGGGGATTTTTAATTTGGTACGGCTCATGACTGAAGAAACTTAAAGGGAAAACTTACATGGTCAGCTTTGACAGTGAATTCCAGTTAAATTCTGAAAGCTCTTGCTCACTAAACTAACGTCATTAGTTGAAGACCCTAAGCTCCACTATTAACTGTAAGGAAATTTGAACAAATTCCTTTTAGGGAGAAAGTCAGTGACGGCTTATATGAAACTATGTAATGTAGGTGTATGATAATAAGTGCTGGCTCTTCGAAGTGCTTTCTGTGTGGGTTAGGCTTGTGCCTTTGCCCTTGTAAGAACTTTGTAAGGTAGGTGGGGTTTTATTGTTTTTTTTTTAATCCTGTTTTACAAGGGAGCAAACTGAAGCTCAAGAGAAATTAAGCAACTCGTCAAACAGCATATAGATAGAGGGTAGATTAGTTTTATGTCTTACGTAAAACACATACATATGTTGGTTTTCAAACATCTTTATTGAGATATAATTCACTTATGCAATTCACTCATTGAAGTATATTATTCACTGTTTTTTAGTATATTCAGAGTTGTGTGACTGTCACCACTATCACATTCCAGAACATTTTCATCACCCCAAAAAGAAACTCCACACCCATTAGCTGTCATTTCCTATTTCCCCCCAACACCTTCAGCCCCAGACAACCATTAAGCTGCTTGCTATCTGTACATATTTGCTTATTCTGGACATTTCATGTAAATGCAGTCATACAATATGTGGCCTTTTGTGTTTGGCTTCTTTAACCTAACATGATGTTTTCAAGGTTCATCCATGTTGTGGAGGTATTAGTACTTCATTCCTTTTAATGGCTGAATAATATTCCATTGTATGTATAGAGTACATTTTGTTTATTCATTTGCCAGTTGATGGACATTTGTTTTTTCCCACCTTTGAGCCATTATGAATAATGCTGCTATGCATATCTGTGTGCAAGTTTTTGTGTGGTTGTATGTTTTTATTTTTTCTGGGTAAACACCTGCAAGTGGAATTGCTGGGTCTTATAGTAATTCTATGTTTAACTTTTGGAGGAACTGCCAACTCTTTTTCAAATTGACTGCACCATTTTACATTCTCATCAGCAGTGTATGAGGGTTCTAGTTTCTCCACATCCTTGTCAACACTTGTTATTGTCTGTCTTTTTGATTGTAGCCATCCTAATGGGGGTGAGGTATTATCACTTTGTGGTCTTGTGTTGCATTACCCTAATGATTAGTTATGTTGAGCATCTTTCATGTGCTTATTGGGCATTGGCATATCTTCTTTGAAGAAATGTCTATTTAAATCCTTTGCACATTTTAAAACTGGATTATTTGTCTTTTTATTCTTGAGTAGTTAGAGTTCTTCATATTTTCCAGATACTAGCCCCTTATTAAGCATATGACTTGCAAATATTTTCTTCCATTCTTTAGGTTGTCTTTTTACTTTCTTTATGTCATTTGAAGTACAGCAGTTTTCAGTTTAGATGGAGTGTAGTTTATCTGCATTTTCTTTTGTCTCTTATGCATTTGGTGTTGCATCTGAGAAGGTTTTGGTTAACGCCAGTTCACAAAGATATAATCCTATGTTTTCTCCTAAGAGTTTTAGTGTTTTAGCTCTTACATTTAGGTTTTTGATCAACTTTGAGCTTATTTTTGCATATGGTATATACAGTACTTCATTCTTTTGCATGTGGATATCTAGTTGTTCAAGTACCATTTGTTGAAAAGATTATTCTTTCCCCATTGAGTTATTTTGGTGCCCTTGTTGAAAATCAATTGACCATAAATGTATAAGTTTATTTCTGGACTCTAGATTGTATTCCATTGATTTATATGTCTGTCCTTTTGCCAGTACCACACTGTCTTGATTGCAGTAGCTTTGTGTAGTAAGTTTTGAAATTGGGAAGTGTGAATCCTCAAATTTTACTCTTTGTTTCAAGATGGTTTTGGCTATTCTGGGTTCCTTGCATTTCCTATGAATCTTAGTATAAGCTTGTTCGTTTCTGCAGAAAGTCAGCTGGAATTTTGATAGAGATTGCATTGACTCTGTAGCTCAGTTTAGGGAGTTTTGACATGTTAAAATATTAAGTCTTCTGAACCATGAACATGGGATGCTTTTCCATTTATTTAGATCTTAATTTCTTTCAACAATGCTTTATGGTTTTCAGAGTATAAGGTTTATACTTCTTTTGTTGCTTATTCCCAAATGTTTTATTCTTTTCAATGCTGTTGTAAAAGGAATTTAAAAAAAAGTAATTCATTCATTCATTCATTTTTGGCTGCATTTGGTCTTCGTTGCTGCATGCAGGCTTTCTCTAGTTGCAGCGAGTGGGGGCTACTCTTTGTTGCAGTGTGCGGGCTTCTCATTGCAGTGGCTTCTCTTGTTGCAGAGCATGGGCTCTAAGCGCGCAGGCTCAGTAGTTGTGGCCCACAGGGTTAGTTGTTCTGCGGCATGTGGGATCTTCCCGGATGAAGGCTCGAACCCGTGTCTCCTGCATTGGCAGGCGGATTCTTAACCACTGCACCACCAGGAAAGCCCTGTAAAAGGAATTTTTAAAGTTTCATTTTTGAGTTGCTACGAGTGTATAGATATACAATTGATTTTTCTGTATTGCTCTCGTATCCTGCAGCCTTGCAGAAATCATTAGCTCTAATAGTTTTTAAGTAGATTTCTTAGGATTTTCTATATATGAGATCATGTTGTCTGTGAGTAGAGATAGTTTTATGTCTTCCTTTCCAATCTGGATGCCTTTTATTTATTTTTCTTGCCTTATTGCCTTGGTTAGAACCTCTAGTACAATGCTGAATAGAAGTGATGAAAGAGAACATTCTTGTCTTGTTCCTATCTTAGGAGGAAAGCATCCAGTCTTTCACCAATAAATATGATATTAGCTGTGGCGTCTTCACAGGCGGATGCTGTTTGAGGAAGTTCCCTTCCATTCCTAGTTTGTTGAGTGTTTTTTTATCATGAAGGGGTGTGGGATTTTGTGAAATGCTTTTTCTGCATTGTCTTAGTCCATTTGAGCTGCGGTAACAAATATCATAGAGTGGATAGTGTATAAACAATAGAAATTTATTTCTTATAGTTCTGGAGCCTTGAAGTCCAAGATCATGGTGCCAGCAGGTTTGGTGTGGTGGCTGCTGAGGGCTCTCCTCCTGGTTCATAGCAGGTGCATTCTCACTGTGTCCTAACATGGTAGAAGGTGGTTAGCAAGCTCTCTGGAGCCTCTTTTATAAAGGCACTAATTCCATTCATGAGGACTTCACTCTCATGATCTAAGCACTTCCCAAAGGCCCCACTTCCTAATACCATCATCTTTAGAGGTTAAGATTTCAACATACAAAGTTTGGGTGGACACTTCGCCTTCAGACCACAGCATGCATTTATCGAGATGGTCATGTGTTTTTTATTTTATTTTATTCTATTGATATGCTGTGTTACATTAATTGATTGTCAGATGTTAAGCCACCCTTGGCATTTGTGGGATAAACTCACTTGGTCATGGTGTACAATAGCCCTTTTTATATGTTGCTGAATTTACTTTGCTAGAATATTGTTGAGGATTTTTGTACCTATATTCACAAGAGATACTGGTCTGTGGTTTTCTTTTTGGTGACGTGTTCATCATCAGGATAATACTGGGCTTATAAAATGAATTGGGAAGTTTTCCTTCCTCTTCTGTTTTTTTGGGTTTGTGAAGAATT